GCCCGGACTGGCCATCGGGCAAATGCCCGGTGGGCTGCGGTGGCCATGGGCCGAAGCTGGCAGGGGAGGTCCCAGGATCTCCCCTGCCGGTCTATGCAGGGCCGGCACTATCCGAGCGCCGGCCCCGCTGTTTGCCATGGAGGGCCGGTGGGGAGATCAAAGCTCTCCCTCACCGGCCCATTTAAATAGACCTGCGGCTGGGGAGGGAGGGAGAGGACCCGGCGGAGCTCTAACTTGCAGCTCCGCCGGGCTCCTCTTGCGAGATCGGGAGCGTTGCCATGGCAATGCCCCGATCTCGCGAGAGTCACCACTGGACCACCAGGGATCGTGTGCGAGTGCCGGTCCCCCCCACTCACCAGCGTGTGGACCCCTCCCCCTCCCAGGCTAAAGGGGAGGGAGGGGGATATAATGCATGATTAGTTTTTTTGTTGTTTACCCCCCTTATTTTTTTTTTTTATTTGTATATTTATTCCCACTTAGGTTTTTATTTGTTTATTTACCCCCCCAACACACAACATTTATACACAGCACTCGCACACTCAGCACTCACACACATCATACACAGCACTATCACACTCAGCACTCACACACATCATACTCAGCACTCACACACATCATACTCAGCACTCACACACATCATACACAGCACTCACATACATCATACACAGCACTCACATACATCATACACAGCACTCACACACATCATACTCAGCACTCACACACATCATACACAGCACTCACATACATCATACACAGCACTCACACACATCATACACAGCACTATCACACTCAGCACTCACACACATCATACACAGCACTATCACACTCAGCACTCACACACATCACACTCAGCACTCACACACATCACACACAGCACTATCACATCAGCACACACACACATCAGACACAGCACTCACACACATCATACACAGCACTATCACACACATCATACACAGCACTATCACACTCAGCACTCACACACATCATACACAGCACTCACACACATCATACACAGCACTATCACACTCAGCACTCACACACATCATACACAGCACTCACACACACATACTGCACCCCTCACATACACACACAACCCCCCGATACACTGCATCACACACATACACAATACTTCCAAACATATTTATATAATATATATATATATATATATATATATATATATATATATATATATATATATTTGTGCTCGGAATTTAAATACGTGATGGATAGTAACTGTGAGCAAAGTTGGTTGTGGTGTGCCGAAACCAACGTACGAGTGGGCCTGTAAATAAAAGAGGGCCCACTAAGGATAATGTAGTTAAAACAGGGTGTAGGTGGGTGGGGACAATCAGCTGAGCGGCAGCGGTGAGTAGGGGCTGGGAGCTTAAGTAGGGACTTACTCCTCCCACAAATTCAGGCCTAATGGCCTTTCTACTTGTGCTCGGAATTTAAATACGTGATGGATAGTAACTGTGAGCAAAGTTGGTTGTGGTGTGCCGAAACCAACGTACGAGTGGGCCTGTAAATAAAAGAGGGCAAAAAGATAAATTCGAGAAAATACACACTTTATTGCATTTTACAAGACCAAGTTTCTGAAAGCTTGGTGAAGCTCTTTCTCTGGTTGCGGAATATATGCGTTATATATGGAGGATTTCCATCGCCCGAGCCTTTTGATGATGTGGACCGGTGCGTTTGTGCTTGAGGCTGCTGAGGCGGCTCCTATGCGGAAGGAGTGCCTGGAGAATGCAGCCGGATTGTGTCCGAGCTTAGATAACAGGGTTCTGACATGTGACATCAATTTTGCCGTGGTAAGCGGGTGCCCTTGTAATGTTAAGAGCGGAGAGTCTGGCAGGTGAGTGCGAAAAGTTGACCGTAGTTGGTCGAGAACTTTCACCGGACACCAGGCATTATCAGTAGGGAAGAGAGGAATTATTGTGGGATGTATTGACCGGTTGGTTTTAGTGGTAGGGATAGAAAGGAGGTAGTGATCCTCTACCTTGGTGAGGTGTGAAGTTTTAAGGCATCGTGCGATATCTCCTTGACAAATCACTGTGAACTCTCTAGGTCTGAGAAAACCGTAGAAAGTGAGATATATGGCAGATTTTATCACCGTATTGGTGTAGCTATCAAATGGGGCTGTGTCAAGGAGATTGCTAAGAGACCTGAAGATATGGGATATGGGTAATCTAGTGCTTGCGAGTGGTGGTGAAACCTTTGATATACCTTTCAAGACCTTTTTTATGGGGTATGAAGACAAAAAGGGGGTGCTGTTAGGAAAATTGGTGAGGCTGTGGTGCTGAACCCCGGTGAGGTAAAGTTTAATGGTGTTGTGCGACAGATTAAGGTGTAGGTGGCAGAAAGAGGCAAAAGACACCATGGTTTGGATAGAAAAGTCACCTTGTAGCCCGAATTCTGCAGTGAATTTATTAAATATGTTAAGTGCCCTATTGTAAGTGATAGCAGTGTTGGGTGATAATGCTTGGTGAGTGAGTGATCTAGCGTGAAGCAAGAGTGTGCTTAATCCAATATTAGTTCGTGAAACCGTGGTGTCCTGGATAGCTGATGGTGAGCTGCTGGGAGTGCCTGAGAAAATGCCTGGAATCGAGAACGAGAAAGAGCGTCAGCGGCGGTGTTGTGAATACCCGGGATGTGAGAACATACTAAGTGAAACTGATTGGATGCTGCCAGCCAGGTCAACTTGCGAATCAGCCCCATGATGGTCAGGGATGATGAGCGCCCTTTGTTAATAATATCGCAAGCTGCCGAGTTATCTGAGTAGCATTTTACTGCCTTGCCGGACCAGAGATGACCCCAGGTGTGTGCGGCCGCCACAATGGGGTAAATTT